ATACCTGTTTCATGTTCTTTGCTTCAACCCAAAACAATTATTGCAGTTATTGGCTGACTATTTTTCCTGCCTTGCAAGAATGTTTAATTCCTAAAGCCTTCCTTCGGTGTTTTTTGGATTTTGCATGCTTCTGGCATTTTCTTTTTCCACCACAGGTGCACCTGAAAAATAAACCTGTCATGATTTCCAGCATTTCTTCTGTACTGTGATTTTGGATTTTTCAGCAAGCTGTAGAACAAGTTCTCCTATGAGCATTTGTATATTAAGGAATAAACCAATGTCCCTTCAGGTCTTTTGCCACCTTTCTTACAGCAGATAGACCCTGTAACTGCTTGTGGTACCTACTTTCATGGTGCTTGCAAACTGAAGAATATGAAGCACAGGTGTGTCCTGGAAAGAAATGAGAAAAAAAGTGTCTACATCTATGGCAAATGTTCTCCCTGGTTGTATTCACTTCGCATACAAATAAACAAAAAAGTAATATTTTATTAGGAATCCAGTGGATAGAATAATGGACTGTAACTCAGCAGAGCTCAGTTCACAGCTCTGCCATTGGCTTATTGGGCAAAGTCATTTGTATCATCACCATACAGCCTGGGATAAAGACAATCTCTTTATAATGCAATATGAGATCTATAAAGGAAAAATATTATGCAGAAGGAATAATAATAAAATCCTTCTAATGAAAATAAAATTATATGTTTTTTATATATATTTATGTTGTTCACAGTGGAATGAACCAGATTCCATTCTGCCACATGCTTCATCAGTGGTGCTGTTAACTGGTTTCCATTTTAAGGGCTACATGTATTAGTGTATTATTTTTAGATGTACCCTCAGATACAGATATGCTTTTCCACTGAAAGTGATAGCATTTCATAGCAGTAATGCTGGGCATCATTTCCTGCATCTTCATTACTGTTGATAAGCCATAAAGGACTTTATGTCTAATTTTAAATACCTACCATTTATGGTGATGATGGGGAGGGGTCTTTCTTATTTGTGAATTAAGTAGATAAGCTGCACAGATTCTTGGGCTGTGAGGACTGTGATTCCCTGAAAGTAATTTGCATAAAGTCATTTGTGCCTTCATTTGCTCTTTAAATCTTCTCTGGCTGTATGGGTAACATAAAACATTTATTTTGCCTTATTTTATGCAATGTAAATAATAGATACTTTCAGGACTAGATCCTGAATACACCAGCGTAGCTCTGTAGCAAGCAGGGTTGCATCGGCTGAGAATCTGTCCCCACCATCAGTTGTAAGTGTCAGTCCTGCAGTGCATTATACAAACGTTCGTCGTAGTTTGTCAGCAGCAAAGCTGTCACCCAACAGTACGCGCTGCCTTCTATCAGCCATTACTTTTCTGTCATCATCATCAAGTGTAGCTTAAGAGAATCTGTGCGTCGTTTCTTTCCTTCTGAACAATTTCCATAGAAATAATTGACCTGCTTTTATGGTAATTTGGTCTCTGCTATTTGTTACTGCAGCATTTTGCAAAGAAAAATGCAAAACTAATGCCCTAGAACAGAAACATTCAGCCAAATTACTTACCAGTAATCCAAGGAATCATGGATAAATCCATTGCTCAAGTGGCTTCTCATTTGGAGCTTAATATAGTTTTCACCCAAGGGTTGAGATTTGGTTTTTTCGTGGGTGGAGGGGTTGTTTTGTTTTTGAAAGGTAATACTCATGCTCTCTGCCCTGAAGCAACTTTGTATAAATCTCCTCTGAAAACTGTATCTGCCAGCACTGTCACTCCACCCGCGAGCTTTCACTAGTAGGACCAGCTAAAAATATTTAAAGGGGCTGTTTCCACTTGTTTGGTGCATTTCATTTCATGTTTCTGCTGCCTCCTCCTTTCTTCAGTCTTCAAAAAAGTCAATAAGATATATCATTTCAGCCCAGTGTTTTGAAGTGACAACCAGTAAACAGCCTTATACTGTGATTAATGAGTACTCAAGACTAGTTTACTGTTACTGACAAGTAAGTTGGGGCCCACTGGATTTGTTTTAAAGTAAATTAAGAGATTCCAGTTATGGGTTGGGACCCATATCACTGAGTCACTGGATATGCTTTGTTTTCCACCAGTTTCTACCACCGGCTGATGATGTTCATGTCAAGGTGTTACACAGTCACAGGGAAGTACAAGCTAGCACAGAAGTGGCACTCAGAATCTGGACTTCTGACAAGTTAAACAATAAGAAGGACTTTACTTTCTATTTAAAAGCTGGAAATTATAGTTAAGGTGTGTGATGAAAATCATGACGTCTTTAAAAAAATAAATGCTGTTCCAAAAGTCAAAATTAATGTTGTTGGTTCTACCTAATGTATATATTTGGATTATTTTTCTTGATTTCTTTGACTTCCAGCAAGCTTGGCTTTCTGTGGAGTTTCTGGGCTGCTATTGCTTTTTTTTCAGATGAAATATGCACCCTAGTAAAGACATCATAGATTTTTGCCCCACTGGTTTAAGCAGGGTCATTGCCAGTGGAAGGCTTCTAGGGTTTGATAACAGCAAATATGCTCTGAATTTCTCTACTTTCCTTTGGAAGTTTGTGGAGTAGGTGGATTGCTGTGGCTGAGAGCACCAGCATCTCAGCAGGGATGACGTAGCTCACAGGTGGAGACATTAGCTTTCTTTTGAGCTCTTTTCCCAACCCAGCGTTTTGGTCACTAATGTTTCTCAGTGTTTCTGGTGCTCCAGGACTGCTGTGAATGAAAGAGGACTCAGTATTTTCAGCACTCTGAGCTGCATGCCCTCCTTCTCAGTCTGTGTGTTGGGTTGGAGGAATGTCTTGAAACATTTTACAGGTGGTTTATCCAACATTTCACTCTGGTGTTGCTTGTTTGGAGGTACCTTCTTTTAGTAAATTGAGCCTAAATAATCTAGTAGCAAATGGTTCTTACACGAAATGAGGTGGTGATCTAAATCCAGACTTTTGTGGAAAATACATGGATACTCGTGCTCTCAGCACAGAGGCAAAGACTGGCAGTGATCCTTATAGGATAGGGATTTCTGACGTGGGTGAGGCTGGGTGGGACATCTATGTAATTCTGCTTTTTTGATGAAGGATGAGAAGAGTATTATGAGCTAAGATAGTGTTCTTTTTTCTTTTCTGTTTTTTTCCCTTTCCTTTTTTAGCACAAACAAAAAATCTATTTGGTCTAACTAAAATAAATGTGTGGCTAATCCTGCCCTATTTATTCTGCTCAAGGAGTGAATACCTTGAGAGTAGACTTTGATGGAAGTTATTAAAGATGACAAAAATTTCTTTATATAAAAGGAAATTAATTACAATCTAGCTTCAGAACATCCAAAATGCCATGGTTATTGTAGTATAATAGCACAGTCAATTATTTTCCTTATTTTACATTTTTCTTTGCCTCTTTCTCATACAAGCCTAGCCTCCTGTTTCATAATGTTAGTGAAACATGTTGTGATGTTCCTGTAGGCTGCCATGGGTAAATAATTACAATATGAGGAAGATGATTCATGATGTGGCCCTAAGTCTCTAAAGCAGGACTTTGTGACCAATTAGGATATAAGCAAAGTATTCTGCAGTGTCTCAAAAAGCCCTTCAGACACACTGACAGATCAACCTAGAGTCACCACGAGTATCACCTGTCTCAGCCCAACAGAGAAATTTTGGTGATTTTTACCTGAGGCCACCTTAGTGACCCCAAACCTATTTTTTGTAGTGTGTCCCTAAAAAGTTCTCCTCCTGTTCTTCAACCAACCAGGTAACTAAAGCTTGAGACTTCTCATGAGAAAAGGGGCTGGCTGACAGCGTGCCTTCTCCTACACATACGTCCTGCTCAACACTGAGGATGAGTAACGTGATGCCAAGGCTGGTCCCAAAATCCAGACCTATGGCTGGCAAATTTGGGGGTTTTATTTCTCCTGCTCATTCAAACCTAGACCAAATGTAGAATCCTTTTTACATTTCTCCGTTGCTATTTGCAGTTCTCTTCGTGATTGCTAGAGAAAGAAACGTACGCAGCTATTTAAGAAATTCATACGTGTAGGCAAGAAAATGCTTTAAAAGAGTATAAAATACAGTGCAAGTATTGCTGTTGCTTCTTCTCCAGTCATATGCTACACTTTAAAAAGCCAGCATGTTTTCATACACAAAAAGATCTTTATATTTGCAAACTTCCAGAAGTCTTAATTGATATAAACAACAGTTTGAGCATGATGACATCATACTTAGTCCTAGAGTTGTGCATCTCAGCTGCTTAGTCATTTAAATCAGTGGAAATAAGTATAGCAGTTAGAAGTTTCAAAAGGTCAAAGAAGCTACTGTCTTTTCAGCTTTGAATCAGCTGAGAGACTCCAGTTTCTTGGAAACATAATGCCAAAGCTGCATCTCTGCATCTCATTTCTCTTTATTTTTTTTTCTTCCTCTTTGAAGCAGTATAGTAATTAGCTTAAAGGGCAAATCACACCACACTCAGTAGCAGAACACTGTACACTGCAAGTTCCTTTCTATTTTCTCTTTCTTTTCTCTTGAAACTTGTTTAAAGAGGAGTTTTAGCCCACATTGTGTACTGAAATATTTTACTGAAGTTCTCTTACCCAAATGCCAAAAAGCTGTTCACATTTTTCAGTAAAATGAATACTTTTTCAGTACAAATATGACAATTTCTGTTACTATTTTCTCGGAAGGAAAATAAGTGATAAAGTGTTCCTCAGAGAGCAATTCGTGAGAAAATTAAAATCAAAATGAAAGCAAAAGACTTTTATAAACTTGGTTTTAAATGTGATTTTTGTTTTCTTTATAAAAGTAACGGCATGATTTCTGGGAGGAAGCCACCTATTGCCTAGACTGCAATGGAAAAAATGTTCCATTTTTTATTGTCAGCTGCATCGGTCAATCAAAAGTAATGATCAGAACCTGTGCCACATTTATCTGTATAACAGAAGTGTACAGTGGTTTAGCAACTGCTATTTCTCATATTTTTTTCCAAATGCCTGTTTTATTTCCATGTATTTCCAGCTGCCGTTCTGCTGCTGAAGTGAAACTGTCCAGGCGTGTTGTCGAGCGTTTCCATTTCGTGGTATACGCAGCCTTCTCAGAGCTGGGAGCTGCACACTGGCGCTCCAGGGACTTCTGGCTGCTCGCCCTGCTGGTAGTTCTGCTTTGGTTCGTGAGGCTTTACCTGCATTATTTGAGCCAATGGCTCTTCCTTCAGACCATCTCGGTTCCTGTCACAAAGTAAGTCCCACTGCCTTTTTTCTCTGCCGGAATATTTCTGCAAATAACTTGATTCAAAGCAGTTTCTTTGCACTATGAAGAGAATTGATGACTAAGGGCACTGCATGCGAGCCCTGATAGGAGCCTCTGCAGAGACTAGGAGAACAAGGACTGCATCCAGACTCCACATGACCTGATATGTAAGTGTGACCCTAACAGAGAGGTGCAAGTGTTAATAATGTGAATTTTCAACCCAGAACAGGATGTATCCATTTATGCATCTTGTGTTGTGCCTACCTCTCTCCCCTCTGGGATACTCAGCAGGTTACGTATCTTCCACAAGAATAATTTCTCATTTTGGTTCAAGTATTTAAAAATGCCTAAGAAATGCACAAAACTGAAGAGGCATTTAAATCATATTTGATGTTACCAAAGTGATCTATGAGTAAAATACTTTGAGGAATTTAACTTTGATATATCAATTTTACTGTGAGGACTACAATGGGTTGACATATTTTAACTGTATGATACATTGACTGCAGCTTGGGAATCGGAGCTCTCTAGAGAGTTCCAGGAAAATCATTACTTGTCATTACTTGACATGGAAAAAAAAAAAAAAAAGATGGAGAACAAGTCCACAAGATGATATATACCTGGTTCTCTATACATTGCTGTGGGGTAGAGAATGGTTTTACAGAGAAAAAAAAAATCAGTCATGCTTAAGGAAGGGAAGATTTCTCCAATAAAAACTTTTTTTTTTTCCTCTTTTCTTCACTTTAATGCATCACGCAAACTTGAATCAATCATTAGGAGTCGCTAACATGCAACTCTGTGACCTGAGTCTGCTGTGATACTGGGATTATTGGCTAAAATTTGAACAGGGTGTCTGAGCAAGCTCTGGACAGCACTGGGTATTGTTTAAGGTGCTCTTCTAGATCTTAATGCAAAGTCAACCATCTCTTGCTTCTGGCCTTGCACAGCCCGGGCAGGCTCAGCCAGCTGGCGTTAAAACTTCTGGGAGGCCAAGCATCAAGAGTCTGTGAAAGCAAAGGAAGCACAACAGAAGGAAGCAACGCGTGAGAGAGAGGTGGTCATGTTCGAAGCCATTAATCACAGCTGTCCTGGGCAGTCAGCTAGATAAAGGATAATGCTCTCAAGCCGAGATACCCTGGATCAGCATCCCAATCTGTAGCTGTGTGCCCACAGAACATGAGACCGAGTTGAGCGCTCTCTAGTCCCATTGAATACAGTGGTAGCGAGTATTGGAACCAAAGTGAGAGTTGGAACCAAAGTGAGAATCAAACCACTTCATCTTTAGTTAGCAGCAGAATTTAAGCCAGTTTGATTGGCTTGAAATTTTTGCCTTAAATTTCAGCATCTCTACGTAGCTCACAATACCATGCAGTTCCTGTCTCCTATAGTGCCAGCAAATTTGCTCATTGTGTGAGCTTTACAAATCCCACCATCCCAGTCGCTTTAGGGATGCTAAAAGCTATGTCTTCTGTATCACATTTTCTGCTTTGTGCAGTGTCCAAAGGTGCTGCTGTATGCAAACGGGGGGGAGCTCCTGGGGTCTGTGCTCACGTTGCTGCTTCTGGGAGCTAACATCTTCCTGTAGCCCTGACTGCACAGTCCCAAGGGTCTGGATGTGCATCCACTGAACTGAGAGTCAGAAGGGGTCAAAGGACGCGGAGGCCAGAGGAGGAGAAAAATTATTATTTTTTTAGTATCTTCATATAGTTTTTGGTCAGAGAGTTGTGACCAGGATAGAGGTGCAACTTCACATTGCAACATGCTGTATGCATTTTTTAAATGGTTTGCCCAGGAGCACAGACAAACTCTCTCCTTTTGCTTATTTACAGATTCCAGATTTTCCCGCACACTGTCGAACTGTGCTACCAGAACTCCTTGCTGCAAACCAGTGAAGAGTTGGTCATGGTTGTGGTGGGACCCTTAACCTTGAACGCAGGGCTGCTTCTTATGGTCCTGATCAGATGGGGCTGTCAGCAGCTGTTTGACTCATTCCCTTCCTTCTTGTCAAAGTTTATCATAGCTCTGGGACTCTGGACAGTGCTAGACCCCTTGGCAGTGTTCATAGTGGATTCAGTCCTGGGGGTAAGTCACTTAAAATAACTTGGATGTGAGACCTTGACGTAGAAGTTTGTTTTATTCAGTGAATCACTGAAAGATATGAATTTCCACCCCTGGCAATGGAACATGAAAGTTAAAAAGAAATTAAATAATAATGTTATACATTACCTTTTTATTAACAAAATTCCCATCTAATGGAGTCACAGTGTTTCTGCATAAAATGAAGAACACTGTACAAGCCATATATGGAGATAAGAAAGTAAATCCACCTCTGGAATGATTGCATCTGCTTTGAAAAGGATTACTGCAATTTTGGATGTTAATGGAGATAGGTTAATGAACAGCCCTGATTATTAGCGCTTGAGAATTTTCTAAGCACTGAAACAGGCAAACTGAAAAAATAGAGGTTATTGTGCACTTCTCTGACGTGCAAGGTAGTTAATATAATTTGCTGGCATGCCTAAAAAGACTTGTGAGATTGAAAGGCAGACATCTTTAAGGAAAGAGCTTCATCATACGAAAAATCACGAGAGCAAAGCTCCCAAGTCTATCTGTGCCTATGTACGCGCTGTGTAGCCCATCTGTACTTTGGTGGTAATGCCCAGTCTCCCAGGACACGTTTCAGACTTGGCTTTCGCTGTGGAGGTGACACAGGATCCTTTTGATGGGTGCAAGGTGCCGAGAGCTTTTCTGGGGGTGTGGTATTGCTCCTCTTCTGCCCTTGTCAGTCTTTCAAAGACGTCTTTGTTTCTGTTGCTCACTCCAGATCAAGCAGTAAACCACAGTTCTTGTTGTGGATCAGGTTTTCTCAGGTCTCTCACTTCTTCATCTGCTAACCCCTGCTCTGCTTTTATGAAGTCCTGTTAAAATGTGATTTTCCACTGTTTACGTGCTGTTTCCCATTGCAGTGGTTTTCAAAATTAAAATTCAGCTGTTCAAGAAATTTAATTGGAGCTCACTTGGGAGGTAATTGCAATATTTCAAGCATGTGGCAACACACTATAGTTTTCACTTGAACAGCCTGCCTTTTTTTTTTTTTTATGTCATGGTGTAAAACATGCACAGAATTTAATTTTAATTGTAATTATTCTGATGAAGATGGGGGTTTTTTTAAGAGAAAAAGGGGTATTTCCCCAATATGTAGGCTAGAAATATTTAAATATTTAAAAGGCTTTTTTCTCTCCCTTAATACTGGTGTATTCATAAAAACTGGAGGAAAGGCTGTGGTCTGCCTTCTTTCCCACACTTGCATTGAGAAGATCATTGCCATTGACTTCAGTGGAATTGTGCTCAGTTCTAGTCAGACTGGATTCATTATCAACTTCAGATAGGGCTTGGTCAGGGGGAAACATGAGATACGAATAAATTAACTAAGTTTTTCATTACAGTACTTCACAATACAGTGAAGTACTCTGTACTTCATACTGAAATTTTGGCAGTTTCACCCACCAAGATTATCTTTGGTAGAGACTCATTTGTTCAAATATTGCACAATATACTGTGTGTATCCTTTCCAAAATGAAACTATATTTCTTACATGTGTTTTCGTTATTGCATTTGTAATTTTTTTTTTCTCCTGGCATTCTTTCAGCAGCTATTTCAGATTTACTTGGCAATCTATTGTAGATCAAGCATTTTTTTATATGTTATGTTGTGGTAATATGAGTTATTTTAGTGCTAGAATGTATTTTAGTATCCTAACTGACCTTAATACTTATGAAAGATGACAGATAGCCCTGGAGACAAAGGTTTCTCTGTTTACTAATTTTTTTTATTGTTAAGGGAAGGCTAGAGAGCCAGTTGCATGCTTGTGAGGTTTCAATTCATAGTTCAAGTTACTGCATCAAATGTGTGATTCCAGGCTTGGTTTACTATCGGCTTCAAGAATGATGTTCCAGGAGTAAGAAACTTTCCTATGATTTTGGAGAAGCCAGTTCTAGTTCCATTTCTGCCAGAGCTTTCCCAGGACCAGTCACTTTGTCTCTCTGTAGCTTGTAAAATGGAGACAGTGACATCTCTTTAGATACATGTCACCAGAAAAAGCATTAGAGATTGCAAAGTGCTCACATGATCGTCGTTCTGTGGTGTGATAAGTACCTAAGACAGCTATTGACAAAAGTTACTTAAACAATTTAAAATTAAGACAACTTTCTTGGATCTTATCGAGGACCACGGAATAATTGACGCAGTCTCTTTGATAGAAAGATATGCTTCCCCAACACCATTTTTGCCTTGCCAGAAAGAACTGCTTGGATAAGAGAGAAATTTATTCTTATTCAGACTTTTGCCTCTCTGGAGGGATGTCAGGCCATGACTGCTGTGCAGAGCATTTTCCTTGGTAGACAGTCTCTTTGGTAAGAAAGCAGTGGAGGCAGATAGTTTTGCTTTGGTGGTTTATTTTGGGTTTTTTTGGTTTTTTTTTTTTTTTTGCAAGAGAGGGTAAAACAGGGACATAGAGCAGAACCAGAGGATAATGTATTTTAATTTTTTGTAAAGAATACAGACAGTTCTAAACTAGTGACTAGTCTTTATATGCCAATACCAGTCTCCCAGGACCTGTAATTTCCATTACAGAAACCTGGCAGTGTTGCAAAGGGTGGAGAAAGAACAGAAATATACTCAAGATTCTCAGTCCTTGTAAAGCTCATCATTGGACTTGTAATTGTCTTTCCTTTACTGTGTGTGCCACCACAAAGGTAGCCAAAAATGGGGAGAAAATTTTGACTCTTCCTAAGGATTAGTCCAGGCAAGTTGCTCCAGAAGGTGCAGGTTTCTTGAAGCCTAAAGGTCACAGAATGCCTCTCTGAATGATAAATACTGGCTTTTTTTTGGCAGTGTAGTTTCACATCCTTGCAAAATGTGTTAACGTGATTTAATATGGGTATGGCTGTCTCTGTGTCACTTTAAAAAGAAAAAAAGTGAAGACAGGAGTTTATTTTGGGTCTGAGCAGAAGACCCGTGATATGTAGCTGAATTCTTCTAAATCGATCCAGCAGAGGGCAATAATATGTCAATACAGTAGCTTGTTCTTAAGAACTAGATATGGGGGGGGGGAAGAAAATAATAGATTTTTTTGAAAATCTTTTTCAATGTTTTACTGGAAGTATAATGGAATATAGAGTGGTATGAAACCTTCAGGATTCTTTGTGAATCTTTGCAAAAATACACAAACCACCTTATTCCAATTAAATTACTATTTTTATTCTATGAATATTAATTCCTTACCAATTATTCCTTACCAATTGTTTCATCTTCAGTAGAATGAAAATAGTTATACATGTTTGTTTACAAAGCAGTTCAATGTAAAATATTAATAGCATAAATAAGAAGGGTATATGACAATCATGTACCTTTGGACAAGCTATTAATGACACAACTTACAGTTGGTACTTTGTACTGTTAAGTATTTTCAATTCCACCACAGCAGTGGAAGTGTGGCATGGTCAGATCTCTTCAGAGCTATTTGTCTTATTGTGTCTATATTTCTTGTCAGGAAAGTAAGAAATTAAATGAGAGCTATATCATAAAATAATGCTGATGCTTGTTGATTCTTCAATGTTACAGGCTGTCCTTTGGCTTTCCAGACTGGACTGACGGGGACACTAGGAATTGGGGGGCAAGGGGAATATCTAATTTTCTGCCTTAAAAGGTTGCAGACAGACTTGGTAATGCATGTACATAAATTAAAATAGTGCTTCATAAGAGGGAACTTGTCTCTTTTGCACTGAAAAAAGGTCAACCCCTTTGGGCAAAACTTAACAGAACCCTGCTGGTGTCCCCTGTTGATCTACTTGTAGTTGCTTTCTCCATTTTTCTCACCTCATTGGGTCTCAGTGAAGCTTTGTGAATCCACTACCTTCTCTGACTGATGCCGTTGTTTGCCAGACTAGTGGAAAAGCCATGCTGGGTGTGAGCTAGCGACACGTGCAGATGCCCTGGTACTTCCATTTGGCATTTCAGCTAAAGTGATGGTTACTTTTGTTTTCCAGTGGCAGCACCAAACACTGACTCGATCTGAAGTTGGGAATCGGCATGTACGCACTCTTCAAAGTGCACACGTTCAAAATGGCGTGTGGGTAACTCGCTGAGCCTGGTGGGAACCAGCGTTTTTCTTGTGGCAAGGGCAAGTCATTTTGAGACCAGGCAGTTTAGGATTATGCACTGGCACAAGTGTTTTCTGCTCACTCAGCACTCCTAAAAACAGCAGCATAAATCATTCAATATCATACCTCTCTGGTCATTGAAATAAGGCAAATTTCAGCCTTCCCACCCTTCTGCTTTTCCAGAAATATGTTAATGAAGCTCACATTGACTGCTTTCATTGTGACATGGGTTTTGTTCAATAACTCACAATAACTGTACTAAAATAAGCCAGAAAATAGTTCATTATACATCTCATGATTAATTTCAAATTTCGTGTAGCAGACTCCTAAGTTTCAAGCTGTGTGCCCCCAAAATTACAGCAAAATCTTTCTTATAAAGAAATTCAGGTTCTTTTGTGTCTATAGGTAAATAGCCTAATCAGGTTTGGCATTTTCTTATGTTGATTTTTTTTCCCCATGACAGCGACTTGGAAACAGCGTAGAGAAACCCATTGCTGATGCTACAAAGCTCTACTGGGTCTTTCTAAGAGCAGAGGAGTCAGGGATTCCTGGTGCCTTAATCACTGTGGTGCTTTATACAATCCTGTTCATCATCTCATCAACAGTCCTGTACCTGTACTTTTTAAGGTATGTCTCTTTATCTCATTATTCCCTTAGGAGCTTTGGCTCAAGCCCCTTCTCCTGTAAGATAAAATAAAGTGACATCAGAAAAGATATATCAATGTCACATATCCAGAGCCCAGAATTGCAGACAATCAAGGAGGGGTTAGCTCCTGCTTAACTTTTGATGCACTGGTATTTGGTGGGAACAGCAAGTCAGAGAGGGAGCCTCTTATTTCCTCAACAGGAACACAGTTGATGTCATGATTCTTCATAGAGTCTAGGAGCCTCTGTTCCTTTGGCTCCAGACAATGGTGTTTGTGCCAAGAATTTAAGCTCTAAAGTGCGTGTACCTTTTATTTAGGTACTTTGGAAGATGTTATCTTTAGTCTTCCAAGCAGGGTTTTTGTGAGAAACAGGAAAAATTCAGAAAACTACATATAGTGTAAAGTGCAAAATCTCTCTCAGTCTGCAATGGCCCCCAGAGTCTTACAGCCTTTTGATGATACAGGATTTTTGACTTGATGTGACTGAGGCTTTAACCCGCTGCATGACAGGAATTAATCCAAATAATATTTCCATGACTTTAGCCCGTTATCAATATTCAGTTCATCATGAAATTTGACCAACTGCCTTTCTAGAAGGCACCATTAGCTGTACAGTCAATAGGGACAGGCGTGGGACACTGAAAATGAACGACATCATAGGTTGTCTAATACATTGAATGAAAAAGTGTATTTTCTTTTTTCTGAGTGACGTATCTACAATGAAGTATGAATTTTGTACTGGCCCTTGATTCACCCAGTGATGAACATTGAGTGGTGGCAAGCATCAATAAAAAGCCATACGCAAAAGCAAGATGCAGGCAGGTGTAAGAATAGTAAAGCTCAGCATCTGACAGAATCATCCCTCGGTCTGCTTTCCACAAACTCCATTGCAGCAGGCAGAAAAAGATAAATGGCAATCTAAATTTCTGCAAAGTATTTCAAAACTCCTGCATTCCTGGAAGCTGTACACAACTCCAATGTACTGGTAGTCTAGTTAATTAGTTTTTGAGATGTTAATGCCTTCTTAATCATTGACTTAATAGTTTTGAATAGCTTCATAAGTTTTAGCTGCTGTCGTTTATTACTCAGGAAAATTAATTTAAATTAAAACATTTGTAAGGCAGGTTTTTATGAGAATATTACCAACATCTTCATTGTCTGGGGAACAGGTGCAAGATCATCAAAGGTTCCTTTCCTTCTGGATCAATTTTCCTATAATGTTTTCCAATAAAGGGGTGGGGGGGGAGAATGTTACTAGGGGAAAAAAGTTGTCTTAGTACGACACATTTTAAAAATGATTCACAGCAAAATACAAAAGCAAAGGAAGATAACAAAATCTGTTACAGTGCATAAGGTCTTTGAAGTTCTTTGCTTGATAACAAAAAGAAACATTTTGAATACTGGAGTCTCTGCAGGGTAAAGTTGTACTACGAGCTTCTGAAATTGGATCATCTTTCCCTTCCTTGTATGTCCACAGCCCAACACAGTGGGAATCTTGGACCTGGCTAGGACTCTGGAGCACCACACTGTCAGTCCATTAATGGTAGCATTAAAACCTTTTAAAATGTTTTAAAGGAAAGCATCTCTGAAGTTTGTAACATTGTTTCCTGAATACAGATATAACAGCATTTGTTTTCAAGAGAAAACAGTGTTATAAGCAAGGCAGTAGTATCCCTTTGTGTGAATATTTCTCAGGTGTTATATCTCAAAGATATTCAAATGTAATGTTGCTCAACTCAGAAAGCATTTTGGTTTTTTACACAGGCATCCCTCACACCTTTCTCTTGTAAGGTAAACCAATATAAATATTGAGGAATGTCTTCTGTGTCCTAAGACACCAGTCCACAGGGAAGACTTTGGCTGTTGGGTGCTGGAGTTGGTGCCATTGGTTTTAAATTTGCCATTTAACAAAAGTCTTCAGCAGAGTATAAAAAAAGGGGTAAGACCAGGGAACCCACCAGACCACCAAAGCAAGTAGGGGAAGTGTCTGTTTCTGGCACAGCCAGAAAGCTTCATGGCAGCACTGATGAACAACCAGGAAGCTAACGAAACCATGGGCAGGGGATAAACAGCAGGAGACATCTATTTGTGTCTTTATAAACCAACATACCTCAATAAATCTGGCTCCCCTTGGGTGTCTTTGGAGTCTGTAGTACATCTAGCATGAAGAGATATTCTAATTACTTTTTGGATAAATGAAATGGCACTGGTTGCAATTCCTTCATTTGAATTCCACTAGACATTAGAAACTGTCAGGAACTTGTTGGTGAAACATTTTCTTCACTGTGAGAAAATGCAGACCTGTCTCAACTAAAAGTGCTGGAAAGAGTCTAAATTTCTTGATATTGAAATATTTTTTGGGGAAAAGCTTCAAAAAATCTACATTTTTCAATGTTAACAGCAAAATTATTTTTATATTTTTAGAGTTGTTTCCCAAAAAAGGATGAGAAAGGCTCAAGCAAAGACGTAATATATTGTTTTAAACCACTCTACCCTTCAAATTTTGGTTTCTGTAAATTTTTGAGAAGTCCATTTTTTGATCTTTTGATTTTGACTGCAAATCATTTCAATGTTTTCTGTTCTTTCTGATAAATAAATGAACTTGTAAAGTATTATACTGGGTCTCGTATCTCTAGAAAATAGCATCTAAGTTTTGTTTTGCTCTCTATTGCATTAGCAATAGAAATTATTACTGTCATATTTATAAGAAGCCATGTGAAGATACAAGAAGTAGTGTTCTGTTCGTTTTCATGCCAAAGAAAAGAAACTAAAGCAGGTAACAGGAGCAGGCTAAGTACTTTTGGGCTAAAGGAACAAAGCTGGAAGACAGGCTTCATGATTCTTAATGAATTCAAAGTTAATTATATTGTTTATAACCATGTGCTTAAAATCTTCATATAGAAAATGTTTATGGCAGCAAATAGACAGTAATTTAACTGCATTAAATTTTACTTCATTTGAAATAAGAATGTTACATTAAGTGAGCTTAAATAAATGGCAAGGTCTTTTCCTTGTTTAGCAAGATAAGTGGCAAGTCATTTAAATTGCTGACCTGGAATTTCAAAGATGAACACTATAGAATGTTATTATTTCAAGATGAGTGGAAGGCCAGAAAGACCACCAGCTTGAATGCTAGTTTTACAACTAAGCACAAGATAATTCTGAGTCAATGTCTGCAAAAATGTATCTATTGTGTTGAAAGGACGTCTAATGTAGATCCAGAGATTGAGACAAACTTTTCTTTGAAGACACTGTGGAATTTGGAAAATTACTCCATGAAGGCCATTAGTTATTTGTAAAAAACCTTCTCTTCTGTAGCATGTTTTTAAGATACTTTAGTATCCTACTTTGCCGTAGCACTGATTTGCATTTCAGCCTTCTGTTTTTCCTTGGTAGCCAGTTTATTTATATTCCCAGGACTGCCTACATCTCAATTAGGTTATCTTCCAGCTGCTCTCCTCTTTTGATGAGAGAATCCCAAAATGACATCTTGGAAACTACAGCAAATTTAGGGCTGCAGCTTCAAAAAGGAATGTTTCAAAAAAGAAGGGTGGGAAAAAAAGTACAGAGAACGCCTTTGCAGCAAAGCAGGAGATGTAAGGCCCTAATCTGATGTTTGGCCAGGCTGCCAGATTTCAGTATCAGAATAGCTACTACATCACAGAAACTCTTGGATATAGATCTTGACCCTAAGGTACATATTCCCCTTTGAAAAGAGAGCTAAAGCTCTTCCTGAGATCAAGTTGAAAAACTGTCTGTTGGTGCATCTCCTTATTTCTGTTCCACACTAAATCTCAGTTGTGGCAAAACTGTACTAGGCAGCTTATTGAGTGTGCTTCTCTGCAATTACCATGTGCAGTGTAAGGTGAGATGTAGAGCTAGTGTAAATGTGAACTTCATTCTGATTTACTTGAACAGTCCGCTGCCCTCAACCCACCCACACACACAGTGGTTAGCACATACATAACAGTACAAGACACAAGAATAAGGATCAGCCACAAGAACTGCATCTAGTGCTGCCGTACATGAGAAGGATGAGAGTCCAGAGGGCCAAAGAAGTTGTGCCTGTGCTCTCTTTCCCACCTGCCAAGAAGTGAAGGACCTGTACAGCCCCTCAGAAATCTGGGCTATGTGTTTGTTGCAGTGCCACGCAGCAATCCCTGCGCTTCTCGTCACTACCCAGCCAGGCTCTGGGGAGGATGAAAAAGCTGAGATTGGTACCAAACGACAACTCAATTGTCATAAAGTATTAGCTTGGAAGAGGGTACAAAAGGAAAGACCTCAGTTCACTATCCAAGATTGAGATTCCAGATTTTCTGATTTTGATTTTCTGAACCCCTGGTTTTGGAATAAAAGTAGAATGAGAAAGAGATGAACTTGAAGAGGTTCCATTTGAATTAAACAGCAATGTTTTGAAGTTTTAAAGTTCATCTAAGGCTAAAAATGTGACACTAGGCTTTTCCAAAAGCCTCACAATATTTCTTGGTTTCACCTACATTAAGAAATACCACACAGCAAGCCTTTCTTGTGGTAGAGAATTTTACTGCGTACTGCTTATTCAATTCCCTACCACAGCACAGAAATGGCGTAGAAAAACAAAGCCAACAAACGAAATGAACGTTTCTAACATCAAGAGAAGTTTAGATTGTATAGACTTCAGGCTTGGGGTTGAAAAAAATGGTGAGTAATTCCTTTCCATATGATGTGGTTTGCCCATTATTGAACCGTGGCACAGCAGGACTTCCGTTCATGCCTGACTGACGTCTTCCATGTAAGCACTGCAACTTGTTACCCAGCCCAATGCTAAGGACAGGCATTGAACATTTCTGAAGGAAAGGAAGATCAGGATCTTTTTGAGAAGTCAATATCTTGAATTGATTAAAATAAATTGCTGCTTAAGTTTATGTGATTTGATTCAGGTATTGTAAAGTCTCCAGAGGGTTGGGGAGGGGTGTATGTTGGGGAACTTGTGGGAAAGAAGCTTCTTACTCATGGGTAGAGAATATAGTCATGAAAGGAAAACTAAGCTTTAGAAGTTGAAGGGTAAGACATCTTTTTCTTTTTTGCATGAAAAGTCCTTTCAAAGAACCAAATGTGTCATTTCTATCCTTAGGCTACATAGCGAAGGTTGGCTGTTGGATGTATTTCAACGTCTTCATGGTGAGGAAGGCACGTTCTTTGTTCCGCTGGACTTAGAGATTTCCAGTCAGGAGCTGAGCTACATTATGAAGAGGGCTAAACAGTGGAGAGGAATCAATGGTGAAAGACGGATGGTGAGTGGCGAACAGAGTCTCCAAAAGGAGCCTGTGACATACTTGTCCAAATTAATGCTTTGTATTTCTGGGTATTACCTAAAAGGACCTAGATATACAAGAAAATTATTCTTAGGGTGCTTCTTTGAATGGAGAAGCTAAGAAGCATGTTCAGGAGAATTTTATGAGGTTGTACGTGCATTGCCTGAACATCTTGAGGGGTTACAATCTGCTTAGTATCCAAAGGCTTAGCGGCGTCACTGATGTAAAAAATTGTCTCTGCCATCTGGTGATTCTTGACTGGGTCATAGAGACTTGTTACTTGTTTAAATGTCAGTACCATCCAAAATAATTTCTCAGCCAGCTCGACAAACTGGGGAGCTCTGTGGACAAGTTGCATTTACTCCCTGCAAGGACATGGATAGGGCTGCCCTGAGGAGGGGGTGTGAGTTTGGCGAGTCGGATGTCGATAGCCATGCTCTCCCTCCTGGCCCTTTCCTTTCAGGATTGCTCGGAGGAGTGGGCTGAGTTGGAGATGTGCAGGGGAAGGTAGGATAGGTCCGAAGTTGGTCTGCTCTACTTTGGTTATCAAAATGTTTTCTCTTTCTTTTCCATTAAGTCAGTAGCCTCTAGGCCCATGTTCAGACTTTAAGATGTGATGTGCAGGAGATATACCTGTGTTTGCAAAGTGTCCAGGGTTGGGGATGCTATCCACAAATGAGGCTTCCAGTCATAATTGCTTTCAGAGAACTGAAAATAACAGAAGTAACATGGTTGGTAGTCTGTGAGGGTGTCTTCCTTCTGTGAGGGAAATTTTTTTCCTTACTTTCTAGCTTTGCATAAGCACTATTAATTCCCATAGGACTATCTTATAAAACTGCTCTTGGACAATTGTTAACATGCTCATCAATTGGATTTATGCATCTATGAGTGCCACTGTGCACAATGCTTTGTTCAGTAACTCTCCTGCTTCAATATAAAAATGAACAGATTCCAGTTAGGAAGGAAATCAGTCCTCTTAAGTATGTATAAGTTGTTTGTTTTGTTTCCTTTTCTAACCCACTGGAACAAGTGATTTCAGATTAGAGTCTGCAAGTTTTTCAAGTCTCTATAGCTACCTCTGAAAGATCAGCAGTTTATATAAATATATAGCCTCAGTTGTCACTGCTATAAACATCTGGCACAGCTGTAATTATTTTCCACTTTTTTTTCATGATGACAGTTTGGACCCTGAAAGGAAAAATAAAAAGGTGAATGTGCCAATTGAATGAAAAAGCAGATACTCAGTAAGCTTAATTTTTGTGGGAAAGTGCAGAGCACCACATTGCACTTCAACAGAGGGGAGGGAAAAGGTTTGAATGAGTGAATGCGCTACCACAGCCACCTGCCTCAGACATTCCCACTTTTTATAGAGATAGCACTTACTTACTTTACCCCAGTAAGCAAAACAGCCCTTCTTTTGCACTTAGAAACTTTCTACAGTAAGTCAAAGCATAGCCACTGATGATTGGTTTCTATTACCTTTGTTCCAAGTTAAGTAAGGTCAAACAAAGAATATATATAGTGGATCTCATTTTACATACCAGAACTACCAATGCCATATGGAAAAAGCGGTGGATAAGGAAACTGCAAACAATTACTTTTCTGTTTCAAGTGCTGAATACATTTCTAATGATATTACCAGTGTATCATTTCTTGCAGCAGTACATAAAGGGCTGAATGAGGGGAGGAAAAAAAAAAAGAAAAAAAAAGGGGGGGGGGGGAAGGGGAAGAAGGAGAGGATGGGGGTAAAGACAAATCGAAAAGAACGGAAAGAAAAATTACTTCTATGTAAACAAATAGTCTGTCCCTGAATAGAAGTAATCTGGATTGTTCACTGCTATAATGAGACATACTTCAGAGGACGGAACGCTGAAAAACATGACCCATAGCTATAGACATATGTAAGCGCCTAGTTTTGCTCCCAATATGCAGCTTGGCATGTATGAAATGCCATATGGAAATATGGGTATCTGACCTTAGTCTGAGATTCTTTAAAATGGACCCAACGTCAGCCAGATCCAGCAGCACGGAGGGTGCAGAGTAGAGGGAGGACTCCTCCTCTACATGGAGCACTGCGCACTTCATTTGACAAAGCGGAGTGATGCACGCTTTTGTCTTTACCCTAAGTCCCCAAATTTCTGATTCCTATTCTGTCTGCATCTGCATGAATTTCATGCCTTTTCCTTTATATCAGCCCTAATCAAATGCCAATGTTAAATATTCTTGTTCTCTATGGGGCATACTGGTGCAGACTATATGATACAAGCAGATAGGAGCAATGCGGAAAAACCACAGAAGTTTGCATCCCTGGCATCAGTAGGATCTCTACTATTTGCTTCAGTGGGCACAGGATCTGCCTCACAATGAGGAAAATTTGTGAGTGAAGAATACTGGCCAAAACTCCCGAGCTATCTGTGCGAAACATGAACAATGTGAGAAAAAGAACCAGTGTTCTTCAGAAACCTGAAATTTTCCCCTTCTGGTCCAATTGCTTGCTAATAGTATTTTGATGGAAAAGCGAACCATCAAACCAAGTTTCATTAGCTCTTTAGCAAATTTAGTCTTGTAATAAAAACTTGCTCCATTCCACAAATATGTTCTCCACATGGAACATCTTCCTGCAAGACCAGGAACTATGTTTTCAGGTCTTTTATACTCCTAGGCATTGCAGATACTGAAAGACTGTTTTACTGCCATGAATTTGCATACGGTATTTATCTTGTCCGTTTCTTTTTGTACGTCTAATCGTACAAAGTAATCAGTATGGAAGACACATTGCTACGCCTTATTGCGTGCATTATTAATGTGTTAATTTTTAAATAAGATACCAAATTAACAGTGAGCAATTTTTATAAAGGAAAGCACGAGACTGCCATATCTTACATCACTCCATATAAAAAATATATTTTAAATGGAGGTCATTCAAGTAAATAGTCAGTCAAGCCTTCTGCAAAAAAATAGGTCTACGTTTTTGCAATATTTTTTTGCTATTAACCATGTGCTTCTCATTTTTATTCCCTGGATTAAAAATTGCCCCATAAATGGGCATTTTATAATATGCTTAATTTCCTTTTATTAAATTGATAAATGCAGCAGCAGAGGACACATTTACAGTATGATGAGAATTTAAGGTTATTGCATTTTATAATTTTTATATTGTTCAGAGAAGCGATTTGTCATTTGTGGAATGACATCCATGCCATCATTTCAAAGTATTTTTAGTCGTTCTTTTGATAGGAAAAAGGTCACTTTCTGTAGACCAGGAAGACATCACTCTATTAAACTAATTTGCCTACATGCAAATTTTGTCATTTTTACCTCATTAACTATTTATCATAGAGTAAAAAAATATATATATTCATGAAGGGGCAGCTAGCAGCCTGATGGAGCTGGAACTAATATTTTGCAACTATAATGATTTTTTGCATCCTTAATTAGATAGCATAAGGTTGATATGATTAGGTCAGGATGTAGTGTTTTTCATTAAAATACGTTTTAGAAGCTGTATTCATAATCTGCCCTTGCAATTAAATAATGAGCCTATGAGTTTAATATTATCGACCCAATTATTATCCCATGGAAAAGTATACCTTTAATAAATTTGTGCCGTAGGACCTTCATTAGCAACAAAACGAATTATATTTCCAGGTACACAGATTACACGGCCACAATCGCATTTACGTAGCGCTTTGGAAGGCACTGTGGGGAGAGAGCCACCAAAGCCCCGTACGATACAGAAACGCGCTTGATTATTTTGGAAGAAGTCATTTACAATGCCTTTAATGAGGAAAGCTGCAAAGAAGTAAAAATGCCACCTACAGAGGCAGACAGAAACATTTGCAGTAACAAATATTTGCAGAAATAGTGTTCTGGGCACCCTCTGCTAGGAGGATGCCTGGACCCCCCATTCCTCAACCCGTTATAAATATTTGTATAAATATGAATATTTACTGAGCTTTTTTTGGAGATGAGCACATGTTAAATGTATGTCAAATTCAAGAATCAGGAATATCAGGACCAGTGGCAGGCAGGAATACATTAACTTGCCATTAATAACAGTGCGTCAGTTTTTTAGCCAACCCTTTTTCTATTTGTGACAAAAGTGACAATGTCTTGCTATGTCTTGCTGTTCTCACCAAGTAATCAGTTTCCCAAAGTTATCTGACCGTTCAGGGCAAGGTATCAAGTGGAATTTTCTTTTGCCCAAACAGATAAGAGTCAAAAAAAGACAAAAAAAAAAAAAAAAGAGTAAAGCAGGTTCTGACAAAGGATGGTTTTCTGAGTGGGATCTGTTGTGGCTGTATCGGTTGTTAGGTGTGCAGTTCCAGTGCATCACTTTGCTCATGTTTAAAGGCTCTGAACTATTATCAGGTGAAATGCTATCAGCAGGGGTAAAAAGGAAAAAAATGTGGCCCTCAGTGATTTATACTGGATTTAGCCCTCAAGGTACCACCACTGCTTACAGTGGGACTTTTTACATAAGAATACTAATGACAGGAAAAGTTGTGCAAGCAGCAAGCTGAAACACCACCAATAGTACACCAAGCATAGGTCCAAAAGGTTTACACATAGAAAGGTTTTCTGGATCAAAAAAAAAAATAATAACAGCAAGCTCTATAGGCAAGAAGATAATGTGAAACTTACACTTGAAATAAAGCCTGATGCACTGCAAAATTATTTTAATGAGACTAGGGCTAATTTTCTAATTCTAAAATGATATTATAGCAAACCATAAAAAATTACCCGGCAGTAGTTTTTTGAAAGGAAAATATATTTGTAATTATCTTGAACACACAAGATTACTTCAGGGCCTATTATCGACACAATTTTTGATACCACTTTACACTAATTTGCATTTATTACTCTCAGGCCAACTATTAATATGTTAATAAATAAGTCATTAATACTTGTTATTTAATTGCTATCTATTTATTCCTGTTCAATAATGCATTAATTACTTGTGAATAGTTGAGGGCAAAGTCCTGCCCTTGTTAGTGGAATCAGCAGTGGCGAGAAAGGAAACCGGTGCCAGACGTGTCGACATTGCGAGAGCTGGCAGAGAGCAAGTCATTTAACCCATTTAGCACGAGGAGGT